CGCTCCGGGCGGGCTTTGACGTGATTGAGATCCATTCGGCGCACGGATACCTGCTGAGCGAGTTCCTCGCGCCGATCGCGAATCGGCGCACGGACGAGTATGGGGGTAGCTTTGAGAACAGGATACGGCTGCTGCTGGAGATTGTCGACGCGGTGCGGGCGGTGATACCGCATACGATGCCGCTGTTCGTACGGTGAGTGCGCGCGGGCAGTCAGGAGATCGTCGTGCGCGCGCTGACCTTGCGTACATAGCGTGTCGGCGACGGACTGGCTGGATGAGGCGTTCCCGAACGATACGTGGACGGGAGAGGATACCGTCAAGCTTGCGGGCATCCTGGCGGAGCACGGTGTCGACCTATTTGACGTGTCGAGCGGCGGCATCCATCCGCAGCAGAAGATCAAGACCGCCCCACTCGCGAATCAGATTCCGTACTCGCATGCGGTGCGGAAGGCCCACGGGAACAAGATTCTTGTCGGGGCTGTAGGCATGATCAAGACGGGTAAGTTTGCACAGGAGATTCTGGACGAGGTGAGGTTGAAGCCGCATAGTTGGAGCCTTGCCGTGAGAAACTCACAGACTGTGTTTGTGCAGGGCTCCGCGGACGTCATCTTCGTGGGACGCCAGTTCCAGAAAAACCCTGCAACCGTGTGGGCGTTTGCTGAGGAGCTGGGGGTGGCGATTGCGGTGGCAAACCAGATTGAGTGGCCGTTTGCTGGGAGAGGCAGGAGCGATGGGAAAAGGACAGGCGTTGGGTCGCACTTGTAGCGTCTGGTGCAGACGATTCGGGCTGATGAGGCTGTAACATAGAAATATACATGTACATGTATGTACGCTGGCCCACTCGGAGATGCAAAACCGGGACAGATTGGCTGCTACTTATCGGGATCCTGGGTTGAGGTTAGGAATTAGGATAACCGCTGAGCATCCAAAAATAAGTGGATTTTGGCGAATGCTAAGTTTAGACAAGCCAGCCAGGTCCCAACTGCCCACAGACTCCACCGGTACCGGACCAGCCTTGCGACTTCAACTTGTTCCGCCATGCCGCCCTTCCATGCTCCATCGTCGTCATGGCCTGGTAGAACAGCGCCGGTATTCTGCAGAATGGGCGCACTCGACCATTGTTAACGGTGACGTTCCGCTCACATCGCGGCCCAGACTGCAGATGCGACCACAATAGCCCCGTCTGCAATTAGAAGTGGGGGCAGCAACTCAGCCGGAAGATGGGTTCTTCATCATTGAATGGTGGGCGTACCAGGTACGAGTGCACCTTCTGACCGACCAATTCATACGAGAGCGGCCCTAGGCGATTCGATCACAAGATGAGTTGTCTTCGGCCAGGACGGACAAGAAGCGCGAAATGAAGTCACCACGCAGAACACTGTGGAGCCACTATTTTTGCATCTCCTCGCTGCGTCCGACCGTCGTCCAAGGCATCATCATGACATACCCCTGCAAGCACTACCACTATATATTCCCTCGCCCTCCTCCAGCACTTCGCAAACTCTTTAACTCATCCTCCAGCTCAAAATTACACACACACACACCTCTCCTAACACTCTACATCGCATTATGGCTCCCCCACCCCCCGAACCCAAGCTCAACGGCCTCGGCTCGAACATCGTCGGGCCTCGCAACCCCGACCGCGAGCGCCAGAACCCCGACATGATCTGCTCCCCGCCCACGGACTGGGGCACCGTCCTCAACATGAAGTGGTCCTTTGCCGACTCGCACATGCGCCTCGAGCCCGGCGGCTGGGCGCGCGAGGTCACCATCCGCGAGCTCCCCATGTCGCGCGACCTCGCGGGCACGAACATGCGCCTCGACGAGGGCGCCGTCCGCGAGCTCCACTGGTGCGTCCCGCGCACCCGCTCCCGCACTCAACACCACTGACAGAGCCCCTCGCAGGCACAACGACTCGGAGTGGGCGTACATCCTCGAGGGCCGTGTGCGCATCACCGGCATCGACTACGGCGGGCACTACTTTGAGCACGACGTCGAGAAGGGCGACCTCTGGTTCTTCTCCCAGGGCGTCCCGCACTCGCTCCAGGGCCTTGAGGGCGGGTGCGAGTTTCTCCTCGTGCGTCCCCCTCTCCCCCTCCCCGCGCACACGCTGACCCCCCCTCCTCGCGCAGATCTTCGACGACGGCGAGGCGTCCGAATACAAGGCGTTTGGGCTCACAAACTGGCTCGCACACACCCCGCGCAGCGTGCTGCAGAAGAACTTCCGCGTCGGCGCAGAGACCCTCGCGCACATCCCCGCGAACGAGCGCTTCATCTTCAGCGCGCTGCTCTCGCAGCAGAGCACCGCGAAGGAGGCCGCCTCGGGGAACGCCCCGACGCCGCGGCGCATCGTGCACAAGATGCTCGCGCAGGAGCCGCTCAAGACCGCCGGCGGGGAGGTGCGCGTGACGGACAGCACACTGTGGCCCATCACGAGCATCGCTGCCGCGCACGTCATCATCAACCCGGGCGCGCTGCGCGAGATGCACTGGCATCCGTACGCGGACGAGGTGCGCGCGGCGTGTGTCCGTTTCTGTGCTG